TGGCATGTCTGAATTTCCAGCATCACTACTGTTGCACTTTGGGGCCATTATTAAGTAAAGTAAGAGTTACTTGAATATAGCATGTGATATTATGATACATCTGATAATGAAAACAGCTACTAAGTGACTAACAGGCAGGTACTGTCTATAGTGTGGATACTCGAAACAAAGGAATGATTTATGTCCTGAGTGGGATGAAGTGGTGCAAGATTTCATCACCCAATTCAGAATGATGTGCAACTTAAAATTTATGAATTGTTTATTTCTGGAATTTTCCATTTAATATTTTCAGATTGCAGTTGGTTGTGGATAACCGAAACTGCAGAAAGTGAAGCTGTGGATAAGGGAGGGACAACGGTGCATCACATTAACAGAATGAAAAACAAAAACCATATAATCATCTTGATATATGCAGAGAAAACATTTGATAAAATTCAACCTCCTTTTACAATTAAAAAAGCCAACAAATTAAGTATACAAAGAATGTAACTCAAGGAAATAGTCCATATATGACAAACCTACAGCTAACATCGTACTCAATGGTGAAAAGCTGAAAGTTTTTTCTCAATATCAGAAACAAGACAAAGATGCCCACTCTCATCTCTTCTATTCAACATATTTCTGCAAGTTCCTAGCCAGACCAATTAGGAAAAAAAAGTCATGTAAATAGAAAAGTAAGAAGTGAAATTGTCTCTGTTTGCTGATGGCATGATCTTCTATATACAAAACCCTAAAGACTCCATGAAAAAACTAGTAGAATTAGTAAACAAATTCAGTAAAGTTGTAGGATAGAAAATCAACATAGAAAAATTAGGAGCATTTCTATATGCTAACAGTGACCTATCTGAAAAGGAAATTTAAAAAATTCAATTTACAGTAGTATCAAAATAATAAAAACAATTTTATTAAAAATTTAGAAGTAAATTTTTTAAAATTTAGGAATAAATTTAATAATTTAATAATAAAATAGAAGATAAAACTTGGAAATTAATTAAGAGGGTGAAATATCTGTACACTGGAAATTATGAAACATTGATGAAAGAAATTGAAAAGACAAATAAATGGAAACATATATCAGTTCATGGGTTGGAAGAATTAATATTGTTAAAATGTCTATACTACCCAAAGTGATCTACAGAGTCAATGCAATCTCTACAAAATTTCAATGTTATTTTTCATATTAGAGGTAGAAATGATCCAAAAATTTATATGAAACTACCAAAGACACTGCCTGAATAGCCACAGCAATCTTGAACAGAAAGAACAACATTTGAGGCATTATGCTACCTGACTTCAAAATATATTACAAAGCTATAGTAATTAAAACAGCATAGTATCAGCATACAGGCAGACACACAAACCAATGGAACAGAATAAATAACAGAATTAAACCCATGCACTTATCGTCACTTGATTTTTGACAAAGGTATCAAGAAAATACAATGGGGATAAGACACTCTTCAATAAATGGTGTTGGAAAAACTGGATATCCACATGCAGAATAATGAAATAGGACATTTATCTCACACCCTGTACAAAAATCAACTGAAATTGATTAAATACTTAAACATAAGACCCGAAACTGTAATAGTCCCAGAAGAAAACATAGGGGAAATGCTCCATGACATTGTTCTGGGCAATGATTTTTTAGATATAACCCCTAAAGCACAGGCAACAGAAACAAAAATACACAAATGGGACTACATCAAACTAAAAAGCTTCTGCACAGCATAGGTGCAGTGAAGAGAGAACCTACAGAATGGAAGAAAATATTTGCAACCATACATCTGAAAAGAGGTTAATATCCAAAATATATAAAGTACTCAAAGTTAAATAATAAGAAAATAAGTAATCCAATGTTAAAAGGGCCTGCATAGATGTTTCTCAAAAGAAGACATACAAATGGCAACAGGTATATGAAAAAATGTTCAACATCAATAATTATCAGCAAAATGCAAATTAAAACCAAAATGAGACGTCATCTCAAATCTGATAGGATGGTTATTATAAAAAAGACAAGAGGTAACAAGTGTTGGTGAGGATGTGAACAAAAAGACCCCTTGTACGCTACTGGTGGGAATGTAAATTAGTACAGCCATTATGGAAGACACCATGGAGGTTCCTCAAAAAACTGTAAGTAGAACTATCATATGATCCAGCAATCCCACTTCTTGGCATATCCAAAGGAACTGAAATCAGTATCAAAGAAATATCTGCACTCCCATGTTCATTTCAGCATTATTCACAATAGCCAAGCTATGGAAGCAACCCAAGTGTCCATCAATAGATGAACATATAAAGAAACCATGGTATGCATACCCAGTGAAATACTGTTTGGCCAGAAGAAATAAAGAAATCAAGTCATTTGCAGCAACATGGATGGAACTGAAGGTTATCATTAACATGATATAAGCCAGACTCACAAAGACAAATATTGCATGACCTCATCTATATATGGAATATAAAAAAGTAAAACTCATGAAAGTAAAGAGTAGAATAGCAGTTCCCAGAGGATGAGGGGAAATATGGAGATGTTCATCAAAGGGTACAAAGTTTCAGTTAGACAGGAAGAACAAGTTTTAAAGATCTATTGCACAGCACAGTGACTATAGCTAATAATGTAATGTATATTTCAAAATTGCTAAGAGAGTAGATTTTATGTGCTCATACCACCAATATGATAAATATGTGATGAATATGTTAATTTAACTTGATTTAATTGTTTCATAATGTATACACATATCAAAACATCACTTTGTATGTCATAAATATGTACCATTATTTTTTGTCAAGTATTAATTTAAAAACTTGTCATGTTAAAAAAGGCACGTGCATACCTTTAACCTAGAAAAATTCCACTTATCATTTCTGACCTAGAGAAATAATCATAGATGTATGTAAAGATTAATATGCAATAATGCTCACCTTAACATTTTTATACACAATGAAAAGTTGAATATAACCTAAATGTTTAACTGTAGCTACTAAAAATTAGGTTTTAGAGGAATATTTCATGATGTACAAAATAAACGTTATATTAAAAAGAAAAAAGAATTGAAAGTAAAGGGATGGAAACATTAACAATTAAGAATTAATCAAGTGAAAGCGTTCATAGCTATAATAATACTAAATTAGTCTTTGAGGAAGCACTACTAGTAATGAATAAATTACTTTAAAAAAATTATCAATTAAAAGTAATGGCCAGAAATTCTAATTTTATGTAAAATCAATTTCATGGCTTCAAATGTATATATAATGGGATACGATGACAGAAGTATAATTTAAAAACAAAAGAAATCCAGGTATATAGTTGTAAATCTTAACACAATTCTCTCAATAAGTAGAAGATAGAAGAGTTAAAAACATTTAACATATTTATTTATGAACAACATGAATAATGGACTTAATAAACTCAAACATAATGATTAATGAACTTATTTTAATTAACATATGTAACACTACACTCTCAGCCTAAAAAACACATATTTCTTTCAAATTTACATGCAACAGACATCTGAAAAGATCATAAACTGGACCATTATAATGATATTGGGAAAAAAGCTTCTAAGTTTGGAAATTATGCAATATACTGCAAAATAGTTCCAGAGGAAATTACAATGAATATTTAAAAATAGTTCATATTTAAAGATGATTAAAATATAGTATGTTAAATTTGTGGAATGCAGCTAAAGTTGTGCTTAGTAGAAATGTGAAGCTCTAAATACATTTGAAAGGAAAAAAATTACATAAAAAATCAGAACCAAAATTATCAGAACTCTGCAAAACATAGTTGAATAACAACCAAGCAAAGGCTGAATGGAGCAAAAAACAGCATAAAAGGTAGAAATTAGTAAGCATTCCTCAAAAACATTGTAACACAACCAAACAATCCAAATTCACTTGTTGCAAAATATTAGAACTGAATAAAGTAATAGATAATCAAAAGCATAAAAGGAAAAGCAGGGAACAGAGTTTCTTTAGAAAATTGGGGCATTCAAAAGCACTTACGTGTACTAGGAATTTAGGAAGTCAAGTGCATGCCCAGGGCAGGACATACATTTAGAAAAAACCTGGGGAAAAACAGTATGGAGGTTTCCAAAAACATTAGAAATAAAACTATTATGTAATCCAGCAATCCCACTACTTGGTATACATCCAAAGGAAATGAAATCAGTATGTCAAAGAAATATCTGTACTATCATGTTTACTGCAGCATTATTTACAATAATGAAGACATGGAAGCAACCTAAGTGTGGTATGGCTATTTTAAAAAAGTGTCCTGTATATACAATGAACTACTATCCAGACTTAACAAGGAAGGAAATCCTGTCATTTGTGACACCATGGATAAGCCTGAAGGGCATTATGTTAACTGAAATAAGCCAGGCACACAAAGACACATACTGCATGATCTCACTTATATGCAGAATCTAAAAAAGTTGATCTTGTGGAAGAAGAGAGTAGAATGGTGGTTTCCTGGGACTCAGTAGTGGGGTGAGAGTTGGGGAGATGTTGGTCAAAGGCTATAAAATTTCAGCTGGGTAGGAAGAATACGTTCAAGATATCCGTTGTACAACATCATGACTATAGTTAATAATAATGCATTTTTTTCTTGAAAATTCCTAAGGGAGTAGATTTTTGTGGTCTTACCACACACAAAAGTGATAAATATGTGAGATAATGTATATGTTAATTACATTATCATTCCACAGTGTATACATATCTAAAAATAAGTTGTAAAAAATAAATATATACAATTTTACTTGTCTATGTAAATGAATTAAATAAATAAATAAATAAATAAAATGCATATAATAAAAGAAAATAAGAAGAAAGAGGCCGGGCGCGGTGGCTCAAGCCTGTAATCCCAGCACTTTGGGAGGCCGAGATGGGTGGATCACGAGGTCAGGAGATCAAGACCATCCTGGCTAACACGGTGAAACTCCATCTCTAATAAAAAATACAAAAAACTAGCCGGGCGAGGTGGCGGGCGCCTGTAGTCCCAGCTACTCGGGAGGCTGAGGCAGGAGAATGGCAGGAACCCGGGAGGCGGAGCTTGCAGTGAGCTGAGACCCGGCCACAGCACTCCAGCCTGGGCGACAGAGCGAGACTCCGTCTCAAAAAAAAAAAAAAAAAAAAAAAAAAGAAAGAAAGAACAAACCTGAGAAGACCCTCAGCTTTCACCTCTGGCTAAGCTTGGTCAGTGCAAGCTCTAAGAGAAGGCTAAGGCAGAATTATAAACAGCCTGTTAAGCATTGCAGGAGTGTCCCAGAACCATGCTAACCTGCAATGACTGAGATAGTTTTGTTTTTATTTTATTTATTTATTTTTTGCTGTCTTTTCTTTTTTCATTTATTTTTGGGAAGGGACTTGAAATGGTACACTGAAAAAATCAACTAAAGTCGTTTATCAGTTCTAGGAGCATTTGGGCAGAGTCTTCAGGGTTTTCTAGTATAGAATCATATTGTCAGAGGAGACAGATAATTTGATTTCTTCCTTTTTTATGCCTTTTATTTTGTTTTCTCTTGCCTGATTGCTGTGATTAGACTTCCAGTACGATGCTGAATAGGAATGGTGAGAATAAGCATCCTTGTCTTGTTCCAGCTCTCAATGGGAATGCTTCCAGCTGCTGCTCATTCAGTATGACATTGGCTGTGGATTCGTCATAGGTGGCCTTATTATTTTGAGGTATGTTCCTTCAATGCAGTTTGTTGTGGGAAGTCAGGGACCCTGAACGGAGGGACCGGCTGAAGACATGGCAGAAGAACATAAATTGTGAAGATTTCATGGACATTTATTGGTTCCCCAAATTAATACTTTTATAATTTCTTACACCTGTCTTTACTGCAGTCTCTGAACATAAATTGTGAAGATTTCATGGACGTTTATCACTTCCCCAATCAATACTCTTGTGATTTCCTATGCCTGTCTTTACTTTAATCTCTTAATCCCGTCATCTTCGCAAGCTGAGGATGTATGTCACCTCAGGACTCTGTGACGGTTGCATTAACTGCACAAATTGTTTAAACAATATGAAATCTGGGCACTTTGAAAAAAGAACAGGATAACAGCGATGTTCAGGGAACAAAGGAGATAACCATTAGGTCTGGCTGCCTGAGAGCCAGGCAGAACAGAGCCATATTTCTCCTCTTTCAAAAGCAAGTAGGAGAAATATCACTGAATTCTTTTTCTCAGCAAGGAACAGCCCTGAGAAAGAGAATGCATTCCCAGGGATAGGTCTCTAAAATGGTCGCTCAGGGAATGTCTGTCTTTCATGATTGCAGATAAGGGATGAAATAAGCCTGGGTCTCCTGTAGTGCTCCCGGGCCTATTAGGATGAGGAAATTCCCGCTTAAGTAAATTTTAGTCAGACTGGTTGTCTGCTCTCAAACCCTGTCTCCTGATAAGATGTTATCAGTGACAGTGTGTGCCCAAAACTTCATTAGCAATTTTAATTTTGCCCCGATCCTCTGATCTCACCCTGCCTCCATTTGCCTTGTAATATTTTATTGCCTTGTGAAGCATGTGATCTCTGTGACTCACACCCTATTCATACACTCCCTCCCCTTTGAAAATCACTAAAAAAAACTTACTGGTTTTGCAGCTTAGGGGGCATCACAGAACCTACTGACATGTGATGTCTCCCCAGGATACCCAGCTTTAAAATATCTCTCTTTTGTACTCTTTCCCTTTATTTCTCAGACCAGCTGACACTTAGGGAAATAGAAAATAACCTATGCAAAATAACGTTGAATTATTGGGGGCTGGTTCCCCTGATAATCAGTGTACAAAAATTAGTAGCATTTTGATACACCAGTAATATTCAAGCTGAGAGCCAAATCAAGAATGCAATCCTATTTACAATAGCTACAAAAATTAAAATACCTAGGAATACATCTAACCAAGAGATGAAAGATCTGTACAAGGAGAACTACAAAACACTGCTAAAAGAAATAATAGATTACACAAACAAATGGAGAAATATTCCATGCTCACAGATTAGCAGAATCAATATTGTTATAATAGCCATACTCCCCAAGGCAATCTACAGATTCAGTGCTATTCCTATCAAACTACTAATGTCATTTTTCACACCAGTAGAAAAAACTATTCTAAAATTCATGTGGAACCAAAAAAGAGCCTGGTAAGCCAAAGCAATACCTAGCAAAAAGAACACAGCCAGAGGCATCACATTACCCGTCTTCAAACTGCACTATAAGGCTACTGTAACAAAAACAGCACAGTACTGATACAAAAACAGACACATAGACCAATGCAACAGAATAGAGGACCCAGAAATAAAGCCATATACCTGCTGCTATCTAATCTTCGACAAAGTTGACAAAAATAAGCAATGGGAAAAGAACTCTCTGTTCAATAAATGGTGTTGAGATAGCTGGCTAGCCACACACAAAGGAATAAAACTAGACCCCTACATTTCACCATATACAAAAATTAGCTCAAGAAGGATTAAAGATATAAATATAAGACTTCAAACTATAAGAATCCTAAAAGAAAACCTAGGAAACACCATTCTGGGCAATTTGCTTTGGGGAAGAATTTGTGACTAAGTCCTCAAAAACAACTGCAACAAAAACAAAAATTGACAAGTGAGACCTATTTAAACTAAAGAGTTTCTGCACAGCAAAATAAACTATCAATAGCGTAATGAGAAAACATACAGAGTGGGAGAAAATGTTCACGAACAATCCATCTGAGAAAGGTCTAATATCCAGAACCTGTAGGAAACATAAACCAACAAGCAAAAACCAAACAACCCTATTAAAAAGTGGGCAAAGACATGAACAGACACTTCTCCGAAGAAGACCTCTAAGTGGCCAACAAATATATGGAAAAATGCTCAGCATTACTAATCATTAGAGAAATGCACATCAAAATCACAGTGAGATACCATCCCACATCAGTCAGAATGGCTATTATTAAAAAGTCAAAAAATAACAGATGCTGGTGAGGCTGCAGAGAAAAGAGAATGTTTATACACTATTGGTGGGAATGTAAATTATCCCAGCCACTGTGGAAAGCAGGCTGGAGATTTCTCAAAGAACTCAAAATAGAACTACCATTTGATCCAGTAATCCCTTACTGGGTATATATCTAAAAGAAAATACATTATTTTATTGAAAAGACATATGCACTCATATGTTCATCACAGTACTATTCACAATAGTAAAGACATGGAATCAACCTAGATGTCCATCAACAGTGGACTGGATAAAGAAAATGTGGTACATATATATCGTGGAATACTATGCAGCCATGAAAAAATGAATCACATCCTTTGCAGCCACACGGATGTAACTGGAGGCCATTATCCTATGCATTTATGCATTTATAGGATTAAAGGACTCATAAGGTGATTTTTTTTAACTTTTTTAGATTGATGAAATGCCAGGGTGAAGGGGATAGCCAATTGGATTAGAGCACAAGTCCTGCTCTAATTATTTGGCAGAGCATCCAGTAAAGGTCCTTCACAGTACCACCATACATTTGCTTGGGGATGGCTAAGCATGGACTGATGGGCAAGCTCTTGGAAAGGCTTGAGCTCCTTGCACCTTTTTATGCTTCCAAGGAAACCAAATTTTCCTCTTGCTGTGAGAGGCCCAAAGTAAACTTGGCATTTAGAGGTGGAAGCTGGATTGCCTTCAGTGGCTGACTAGCAGGGTGTTGAATTTCAGGAAACAGCAGAGAAAGGTCGGCATGATGGATTATCCTAAGCAGTGGGATTCTGAAAAAGACCCACCATACAGTTCATATCTGGTCTACAAGGAGACCATCCGAGTGGAAAGGCGATAATCTGGGCCTGTGGCCTACCATGCATGCAAGCGTAATAATGGCCTTTATTTAAAGTGCGAACGGAATATTTAATCCATTCCAGCTTGACATTTGCATCTTGATATTTTGTCTTGATGGCTAAGGTCTGCCAGTGTCTTTACAATAGACACTCTAGTTTTATTAGATGTAGGAGCAACCTGTGTGGGATCTAGAACTGAGGCCACTGAAGAAGGAGAAGATGGGGCAATAATGCGTATTTTCTAGAGTTAGTTAAGGTAGAGGTGGTGACAGAGAGAAGGACAGGGTTACATTGATAAGGCTGACAGTTAGAAGGGGCAGTGTTTTTAGTGAAATAGATGAAAGGTTTTAGATCTGCACAAAGTTTTTTTGTGGAAGTCTAACTTTGCTCCTGAGTAGTTTAAAGGACACAGTCCTATTTACTACAAGGTTCCCAGGCTGTAGGATCAGAAAATCAGCATCTTGGCCGCAGGTGATCACAATGATGAGTGCTAGGGGTAACTGTGTCAATTAGAGGGCCAGGATATAAATATTTGTGTGAAAAGGCTAGCTGTCGTTGATCTTTTACATTTCTACGAGGTATGATAGAGCAAGCATTAAAGGCAATGGTCTGAGGTGAGTTATCAATAGTTACATTAATAACAAAGGAGCTAGTAACAGAATAAGGAAAGAAAAGGAAGCAATATAGAAGGTATATGAAAATTAAGCTTTCTTTACCTTAGTAGGGCTTGATCTTAGTACAGTAACCTAAGATGTTTTCTTGACTCGAGTATGGTGGGTCCATTCTTTCTTGGCTGTGCCACGGCAGTTTCAGTGGTTAACAGCATAAAATAGGGTCCTTCCTAGGCTGACTCGAGTTTTTTTCTTTCTTTTGATGAGGACGTGATTTTTAGGCTGGTGCTGGTGTACTGGAAATTCTAGGGGTGGTACCTGTGCTAAAAGACTTTTCATTCTGAGGGAAGGGAAAATGGAAGATAAATTACGTATATAATTTCTGCTGCATATCTTGGGGCTTGAGGCCTCATGGTGATGCCTCCCGCTCCATTCCTGCTCAGCGCTGCCCAGGGGACGCGGCGGCCTTGAGCCGTCTTAAGGTCTTGGCCTTCTCGTGGCTTTCACCGCCCCTGTGCGTTGTAACCTTGGGGATGAGGGGCTCTGTGACTTACCTGGCCACCTTCAGGCCTTAAGGAAACTAAATACCATTTTATATTTGACATTGCTTTTT